CATGTTTTTGTTGGAATATATTGAGTACCGTTTTCATCTACTTGCCTCCTATTTAATATTTTGACTTGAATGACTTCAAATTTACAGTGTAAATCGTACATTTTGATTCTATCTTTAACATACTCTACTGAAAATTCTGTGGAAATATCTCTTATTACGCCCTGTCTAACTACAAGAAACTTAGGAATGTATATGTCTAAATTATTTTTTGTAAATATTGCTTCATTTTTTTTAGATATTATATAGTTGGCCGATTTATAATCTTTAAATTTTATGCGTATTTTATTTCTCCCTACTGCGTCAATGCTAACAATTTTTTCATCGACTTCTTTAAAATTTGAGATAATAATGTCACCTATCCTTAGAGCGTTTAATCTGCCTTTAAAATCGGGTGAATTATTTTCCAAATATACGTAATGAGGTCCCAAGTCGTTTTGTCGGTAAAGAAATTCCTCCCTTTTTATTCCTACTTCTTTGTTTATAGTATTTGTTATTGAAGTTTGTACATTAGCAAAGTCATTATCGATAATGGGTATATTATTAACATGTTTTTTGGTACTTATCTGTATAACCGGAACCAGATTTTTAAATCCTAACAGCTCCTCCTTTGAAGATGATGCATTTTCTGTGTCCATTTGGGTTTCTAAAACATTGTTATCGGAGGCATCGCCTCCGCTAACTGCACTCATAAGTTTTTAATGTCTTTCCGAATTTCGCTTTTTATGTAGTGTAATTAATTTACTTTTAAAGTTCACGAAATATTTATTTATATATCTAATTTATAAACACCGGTTTTAAAAACAAGCTTCTTTCTTACGCACGTCTAACTACCACGACGAATGAAAGCTGACTGAATTGGCAGTTGGCTTCTGTGTCGCCACCGCTTTCATTTGATACCCCATACGTGAAAATCAGACCAATAGCAACGACGATACGTTATAGGCCCATTTGGTAATGCCGTCATCTTTGTTTATTGCTACAACGTGTTCGTTGTCCCCCCCTTTCCAACGAGCCCTCGTACTTCATGATCGGACCAATAGAAATGAAGATACAATATAATGTCCCTTTGGCATGCGTCGATGCGCACGGCACATACTGCGTTCAACCCCATTTTTTATCCCCTTTCCAACGATAACTCACACGTTATTCTACGTTAAGCCGTTTGGCATTTACGACCGGGGTTGCGATTTTAAGAAATGCGATTTGGTGGATGTGCCAGGAACCCTGTTGTCTATCTACTAGTTTCATTCCTATAAAATTACACTTAATTTTATTTAATTTGTTATAATTTAGTTTAATTTTATTTGATTTAATTTTACTATATTACTTAATTTTATTTAAATTTGTTTATTTAGTTTAACTTAATTTCCTGTTATTTAATTTTATCTTTATTTACTTTAATTAAATTTTATATAATTTTAACCTAATTATTTAGTTTTCTTTTATTTCATTTAATTTATTTTAATTCTATTTCAATTTATTTACTTTTATTTTATTCAATAATTTAAAAAATCTTCAGTTTATTAAATTTTACTCAATTTTATTTAATTTTTGTTTACTGTTCTTTAATTCTGTTTAATTTTATGAATGAATTTAAATTCATTTAATTTTCTTTATTAATTTTAATTGATTTTATTTAATTTGTTTTATTCAGTTTTATTTAATTTGTTAGTTTTGCTTAATTTTACCTAATTGAACTCAATTTTGTCTAATTTTATTTAATTTAGTGTAACTTAAATTAATTTTATCTTTTAATTTAATTTTATTTTATTTTACTTAGTTTTATTTAATTTATTATTATTTAATTTTAATTTATTTGATATTACTTATTTTTATTTGATTTTTATTTTTTTTAATATCTTTTATATTATTTTATTTACTATTAATTAAATTTTTTAACTTTATTTAATTTTAGATAATTTTATTATTTACTTATTTATTAATTTAATTTAGTTAGTTTTAGTTTTGTTCATTGTTTTTTATTTTATAATTTTAATTTAAATTTATTTTATTTGATTTAAATTAAATTATTTAATTTAATTTTGTTTATTTTTATTTAAATTAATTTTATTTACTTTTATTCAGTTTCATTTAATTTTAGTTAATTTTGTTTAATTTTACTTAATTCTACTTAAATTTACCCAATTTAACTTAATTTATTTATTTAAATTTCTCATCCACATCTGTCTTTCATACCATTTAAAAGTCAGCAAAAATCAACTTAAGATTCCTGAAGATGTTACATTAATTCACACTATACAACAATGAAACGTAATACATTTAGATCTGTATGAAGACTTAGAGATTATCAGAGATATAAAGGACCGTCCCAAGTGTGTCGACAGACTTTGTCCAACCGCAATTTTGTTGGCCATCCATCGACAGTTGTTTTCTTACTCTCCACTTTCTTTATTTTTACTCAATAACCTCTTGTATCTTCTTTTGCTTTTTTGCAAGAGAAGAGGACGGCCACGAAAAAGTTGTTTTCTTAATCTTTCTACTTTCTTAATTTTTACTCAATGATCTATAATATCTTCTTTTGCATATTTACTTAGCAATAACTTCATCATCTCCTTCTATCTCCATTATGCTCCTGTACCTTGTTAACTACAATTAATTTACCCAATTTATACAAATCTCAACCGTACTAACTCATTCAATCTTTTTCTCCTGTTCTTCTTCTTTGGGTGCCGTCTTCAATGAAGGTTGGCGATAACCTCAGCAAAATAATTTCTGTCCCTGGCTTTTCTTATTAAAGATTGAGAATCCAAATAAGTCCACTCACGAATGTTCTTCAACCAGGACGCCTGCCGTCTACCAGGACCACGTTTTCCTTCTACCTTCCCCTCTATAAGAAGCTGCAGTAGCTGGTATTTCTCATTTCTGTATATGTGTCCCAAATATGAGGTTTTCCGTGTTTTCATTATTTTTAAGAATGTTACTACAACGAAACTCTTCTTCATCTTAATCTGTAGAATACCAAATCTAATACATTTTCATACTCTATCATTATCAATTTTTCTTTTACTCCCGTACTACCATTATTTTTACTTTCTACTTTAACAAAATATTAACTTATCCAGTCTTTCATTAACGATCTTATTCTTCTTCTCTATTTCCAGAACAGTTTATCTCATATTTTCAAAATTTAATTGCCATTCCAATTTTACTCAAATGGATTTAAATAACAATAAAAATAATAGATAACAATAATAATAAAATAATATGAATTTTTATCGTAACCGACTTTTTAAGAACTTAATAACAATTTTAAAAGAATAATTTGTATAAGAGGCAACATGGGGAACCGTTTTCGCGCTGTATTTTCCCGTGATGTTAATCTGCGGAATGTGTTTATGTAGTTTTGTTGATGATTACTACAGGGAAAGTTGTGCGCTGTTACTGTTGTTGCGAATTTGTTTTTGTGAGTGGAGCTACCTACAAAGAAGGTAAATATATTCAATAAGATTAGTATTTTGTTTTGTGAGTGAAATATGTCCCAACAGACATTTATGCTGGGTTATAAGTGTCCCAACAGTCTTGTTATGTTTTAGATGAGTAGAAAGATATTGACGCAAAAAGAGATAGAGGAGAATGCCGTAGCCATTTTTGCCAACGATGCAGAATCAGAAGTCGATCATTTTGACACTAGTGACTCCGATGATGAAGACTACAATCCATCAGTATGCGAAGGAGAAGTAGAACCAGAACAAAATAGATTCCGGTTCCGAGGACAATAAAATGGATCAAGAGAATCAGATGATAAGTGACGAAAGTGAAGAAGAAAGCAGTAGTGACGAAAATGATAAAGAAGGCGAATGTACGTAGCAACCAGGTATTTAATGGAACTTTTTTACCACGTTTTTCGGTTACATGGCACCATAGTTTGCAGATGGTAAGATACTAAAGACTTGTTAGCAGTAAGCAATTGCTTTGGAGAAAAGCAATTAGAAGTCAAACGAAAAATGAAGAATGGCTCTAAAATGATTGTGTGATGTCCTGAACTTCTCCACATGTATGACTTTGACCAGAAGTCTAACAAATGCTGGAAAACAGTATTTTTTCACGTTTTGACGATGGCTGTTAGAAATTCTTATGTACTACCCAATGGTCTAAACAGGAAAGAAAAAACACCATTTTAACCTTTTCTAATTAGTGTAGCTGAGGGATCTATTTTATTAGGAAGAAAACATGCTGTTGTTAAAAGAAAAGCCTTGACTTCACTTGAACGACCTCCCACAAAAAAACAAAAAAAATGTTCAACGTGGGAGATCATTTACCTATCGGAGGAAAGACCCGTAGAAGATGTCAACGATATTCTTCTCAGAAAAAAGAAAAACGAACCACCACACTATGTCAGAGCTGCAATGTATCCTTCTGCAAAACACGTTTCACACCTTTTCATTCTCATCAAATATCGATCTTAGTTTTAGTCCTTTTGTTTTCCAAATATGAGATTTTATTTGTATTTTATAGCAAAGACAATAGCACGTCGCTATCTCTCTCTGTTACATAGAAAATTTAAGTTATACTTAAGTTGTTACCCATCTTGTGTTTGGAGATTGTTTAGTAGTGGAAAGATAACGTGGTAGATAAAACCCGCCCATTAGAAAGATGCAATGCAGGGACTACTTGCATCTTTTTGTGCTTTCCCACTGCGGAACGGTTTTAGATTATATGAAGGTATTATAGGTATCATATTAAGAACATTTAAATAAATTGTTTCAATATTGTTATTATTTGATATATTGAATTTAAAAATGAATGAATATAAAAATATCAAATTTTGGAAACTAGTTCAGGTATGCATCGAGTGCACTCAGCTAAAATAAGTAGTTTTCCACTTAAAGAAGCATAAATGGAATATTTCACATTTTGAACCAGTTGACAAAATTTTGACAGATATACATATAATTTCAATAAAAAACCACAACCGTAATTTAAATATAATTTTATTGTTTTTTTTAAGTTTAATCCTAGTAAGAAAGAGTAAATTTTACCTGAATTTAGGCTCATTAATATCGCTATTTCCAAGAAAACCAGGAGCAATATCTATAAGGACTTCTCTGTATCCTTTATTTGTTCGGACGAATTTGTGAATAGGTAAAGCATCAAAAAATTCGTGGGCTATTAAAAGAGTAAAGCACTTTGGTATATCGTATAAGTTCTTGTACCAATTAACAGAAATACCTTCATGTGTGATACCTGCATTAAAAAAAAATAATAATGATCCAACTAAAGTTCTGATACTATAGTAACATAGAAATCGGACAATCCATTATAAATTATGTTATTTTAATAAAATTTGGTAAACAGGCTCTTCGTCTTCTTCTATTTTTTTGCCCTCCCAGGCATTTAATTTGGATTCCGATAATTCTTTTACCAATTTTATCATCGTCCTTCAACATTTCAATAGTTGACCGTTTATTCCTCCTATTCTATTAATTTCTTATCCTGTCGTTTCCATTTTCTGAATTGTACAGTTTTCGCTTACATGTTATTATTGGCACTGTTATTGTATTGTGAATTCTTCTCTTGAATTTCAGTTTTCCATATGTATGTCCTAATATTGTTTTATTAATTGTGTAGTGTAATCGTGTAGATTTATTTTCTCTATTGGTTAGTTCTACGTTTATAGTAGATAGTCACACGTTGATATTTTTCTAATATTATTATATTAAATTTAATCTACTTATGGTTTTGGACTTCCGTTTGATTAACTATCATCGTTTTTGTTTTATTTATATTCACTTTATTTTCATTTTAGTATTTCTTCAGGTCACCAGCCTTTGTATATTATTTGTATTGTTCACTACCAGTACAACATCATCTACCTAGAGTAAACTCTGCAATTTTATTGGTTAAAAGTTCCTGTATCCAATTATTCTGTGATGTTCTTCTTTAGCTTTGAGGTTCTTTATAGTGCTGTCCATTTTTACGACAAATAACAATGCGCTTAAACTATCTTCCTGTTTTATTCCTTTGTTTATTTTGAATTCATTAGATCTTTGGCCTCCTACTTGTACTTGTCCTCTTACTGTCTTGTATGTACTTGCTATGTTTCTGATTAATGTTTTAGGCAATTCTAATATTGTTTCAGATATTTTCATAATTTTTGGCATTGCTTATTTTGGCAAAAATAATAAATGATTAGAATTTCAGTCATATAAGTTTATATTTTCGTTTTTATTCATTCTTTATTCAAAATCCGCAAACCACTAAAATTTTAACTTCTAAGTTTAGTACCTACCAATCAAAATTCATTTTGAAGATCTTAGAAAGGTTTGAAAGTCGTTTAAAATACCTATAGTATAAAGACATGCACATTTCCATTAACTGAGTGAGTTTGATAGTGAGTGGATAGTTGACCTAAGAGAAGCCGGACTTTCTTTTCGGGAAATTGCGAACAGGGTTCACAGAAGTTTGGGTACTGGGTTAAGATGTTATCAGGCATGACTCAAGAAAGCCGAACACTATCGAGTAGTATAGGGCGGCACCGAAGAACACCTGAGCAGCAACACCGTCTCCTAAGGAGATAGAGATACATATATCCAAGAGATCGCTTTTCCACTACCAAGTCTATTTTAACTCAATGGTTTGCAGAACGTGAAGATCAATTGGGATGCGAACAATTTGGAGGTACAGTGTCAGATGTCATCACTTATGGTTCAAGATCACCTCTAATCCCCGTCAGAGGGAACATGACAGCTCAGCGATATGTACAAAAAATTCTGGAATCTCATCTCATACCAAACCTTCAGATGCTTCATTATCCAATTTTTCAGCACAATAACGCAAGGCCACACATTGCTAGATATTGGACTTCTTTGAACAGGCTTAGAGTCAATCTTTTACTATGGCTTCCTAGATCCTCAGATTTATCAGCATTTGAACAGATGTGGAACATGCGTTTTGATGTGATGTGATGGGTTGTAGACTTTTTAATTTAAAGCATCCTCCACAAACTTTGGTAGCCCTTCGGTTAAAGTTAATTAGTACATGGAACGAGATACCCCAAAGCTTATTGACCACATAATCACAAGCGAACCCAGGCGCATCCACAAGTGTTGCCGTCGAGGTGCACCAACACATTCCTAATTGATTTACCCTGTAAAGGTGTAGTGATCGTTTATTCATCCTATCCTAAGTTGTTTCAAGTACATATATTGAAATTTTGTTCCTTTGTTTATGTTGCTATCCCATATAATAGTACAAAATAATTGAAAAATATAATAATTTATAATGGGTTTTCGGATTTCTATCACTTGGGTGTCACTTCTATCTTATGTAATATACATAATGTGAATAAACCAGTTTTATTTGAAAAGACAACAATATTTGTTTGTTAAACAAATTATTGTGTTTTGCTAGTTAGTAATATAAAAACTACTTACATTACTTAAATTATATCAGATATATTTTAAACTTTGAAAATAAGGCTATTATCGAGCACAAGTTAATTAAATCTAGCCCAAGTACTTTCGCTTAAAATAGCATCTTCAGGGGCATTTCGTCAAAATAAGAACTATCCGGCAAGCGTAGATTGTGGAAACATTAAAAATAACATAAATTATACAAAACACTACACTAAAACGAGGACAAGCAGTTTAAAATTACTTCTACGCTACATTCTCTGTCAGTATCTGGATGGATAATCTTATTATTATTATCTTATTATTATTATCTTATTATTATTATTATCTTATTATTATTATTATCTCTCTCATTATCCATCCAGATACTGACAGAGAATGTAGCGTAGAAGTAATTTTAAACTGTTTGTCCTCGTTTTAGTGTAGTGTTTTGTATAATTTATGTTATTTTTAATGTTTCCACAATCTACGCTTGCCGGATAGTTCTTATTTTGACGAAATTCCCCTAAAGATGCTATTTTAAGCGAAAGTACTTGGGCTAGATTTAATTAACTTGTGCTCGATAATAGCCTTATTTTCAAAGTTCATTTATTCGAGCATTCAACCTCATTTCAGATATATTTTACACTACACGAAATTAACTCTAACTTGAGAATACCTGACACGACCAGACCTGAAAAGAAAATTCTCTACAGACCTACTACTTCTTTTAGATAATGTAGTAAATGATAATGAGAAAAGCGGACTACGCTTAATGCTAATAAAACAAAATTTATGACAATTTCCAAAACACAACAAGACATTTTAAACATAAGAGGGGTTCCAATAGAAAAAGTAAAAAAATGCAGATATCTTGGTACAATTATTAAAGAAAATAACGAGTATACAGAAGAAATAAAAACGAGAATTGGACAAGCTAGAGCAACATTTAATAAGATGAGAAAAGTAGAGATTATTATTATGCAGTAGAGACTTTAGTTTGCAACTCAAAATAAGAATATTACGTTCATATGTGTTTTCAGTGCTGCAGTATAGGGTGGAGGGCTGGATCTTAAAGAAAGAGGTGAGCGATCGACTTGAAGCATTCGAGATGTGGACCTACCGAAGAATATTAAAAATAAGTTGGATAGACCAAATTACAAATGTTGAGGTCCTCAGAAAAATGACAAAGGAAATGGAAATCATGAATACAATTAAGATAAGGTTACAATATCTCGGCCACGTTATGAGAGGGGATAAATATGTGTTGCTACAAACCATAATGCAGGGAAAAGTACAGGAAAAACGAAGTATTGGAAGAAGACACATTTCCTGGCTCAACAATCTGAGAAAGTGGTATAATTGCAGTTCCGTCGACTTGTTCAGAGCTGCAATTTCAAAAGTGAAAATAACTGTGATGATTAGCAACCTCCTTAGATTAAATGGTACCTAAAAAGTAGAAGTCTTTAGAAACAAAATTTTATCCTATCCTGACAGTAAAATTATCTTAATACTATTCCCACTGTAAATGATACGGAAAAACATGCATTTATTATTTAGAAAAAAAGGTTTGTTCCCATTAAATATTTTACATAGCTAAGGTATAAATTAGATACACTACCAGTTCTGTAAATGGGCTTATTCTCATCGATCACATAAGTTTGACTACACAATTTTTTAGCTTGAATTTCACTTAATTTTGTACTAATCTCGACAAGTTGTAAACGTGTTTGCTCCAGTACTTTAAAATGATTGAACACTCTCAGAATATCACTGGCCAAAGTTCCTCTTCCTAAAATAGATTATGCAATTTACTATTTGGATTGGGAATGAGCCACAATTTTACTTAAAATAAGTTTATTTTGACATTTCGATTTCCATTCCTCGAAAGAATACAGTAGGTTACATCTGGTTGCAAAAAAAGGAAATCAAATAAAATAATATATATATATATATATATATATATATATATATAAATTGTTATGATGTTTTGTTTGTATATGAGCAGAGTGTTTAAAATAAAATATGAGTATAGGGTTTTATCGCGGTTCTCAAAGAATTAGTTTTTAAGTATTTTTTTAAATTATCTTTAATATATATATATATATATATATATATATATATATATATATATATATATATATCGCAACAAGGAGTACGACCGTCTATCCAATATATAATAAGGATCATTCAGACGAGTGGTGGGTTCAAATATCGGTCTACTAGGTGGAGAAATAAAAGACAAAGTTGATACTACTTCATTTATTTTGAAGACGTTTCGCTATCGAATTCTGATAGCATCATCAGTTCATCTAAAAATTTTACATTATGAGAACCACATATTCATGAAGAAGATGCTACATAGTTACCTTTAAAAAGACATGTAGTTGTCAATGGTATTAAAAAGTTAGTACAAAAACTCAGATAAATGGACATCATATGGTGATATTGTATAAACAATTAAATAACTAACAACATTTAGAGACTTAATAAAAATTAGCAAAGCAACAGAACACATGGTCTAATCTTCATATAATATTTTATATAATATTAACTAGTGAAAAAGAACTAAGTAAATCATCGATTCACTTCCAACTATGAAAGAATTATTTTATGACTTCATCTTAACTTTTGGTAGCATTATTTAAGTTATCTACATTAAGTCATAAAAAATATATATAAAAAAAATAAAGTGAAGTTACCACTGTATGCTTAGCACCTGTTGCAGTTGAAATGGCGTTAATTGAAAGATACCGAGACAATGACATGAACAGACAGCCAGCCCTGAGGTCGAAAATTCTTCGACAGAACAGCAAGGTTAAGAGTACCAACCCACTATTTTATGGGCGGTATATTTGAAAAAGTAAAAACTTAATTTTACTATTACATATGCAACCCATATTGCATTTCATTACACTAATTTCTTTGATTAGTGTTTCAAATTATATATAAAATAATACAAACATTGTAATTGATTCATAGAATCCTTTACAAATCACAGCTCCAAGTATATTGAACCTTGGGCTGTTTGGAAATTATAATATCGTTAACCACCTGGCTATTTAACTTGCCACATGATTAACGTCATTACATTATTATGAGTTTGAATGAAAATCTCCGGTTTGTAAATTTGGGCCGGTTAGTGAGGGGAGTTGTGTTTACACTACCAACTTTTTTCACTGTTGTGTCCTTTGCAACCTGGTAGTCATCCAGACTCAGTTAAAATTAAATTAACCGCCCAAAATTTTGGGTTGGTATTTACACCTTGTTGATCTGTCAAAAGTAATTTTGACCTCAAGGTTGGCTGTCTTTTTGCGGTTTAGTTCGTTCCTGTTTCATCTAACGCCATTTTCACGGCGACATCCATAGGGCTTTGATCGGTAACTTCATATTCACTATTTTTTAGAATTTTATTAATATTACTTATAATGCTACCTAAAGTTAAAATCAAAGTTTAATATCCATTAAATAGTTGGAGGTTATTTATGATTTTCTTGGTTCTTTCTCACTTATTAACATTAAATAACATTGAATTTATTTTGGACCACATGGTCAATTGCTGTGCTAATTTTTGTACAAGTTCATATATGTTGTTAGTTGCTTAACTGTTTATACAAGATCAGCGTACTATGTCCATTTACTTAGTTTCATTCACATATTTGTTAATAACATTGACTGCTACATATCTTTTTAAGGTAACAATTAACATCGTTTCCATGATTGTGTGGTTCTCATATTATAATAATTTTTTAGATGAACTGATGATGCTTTCAAAACTCGAAAGCGAAACGTCTTCAAAATAGATAAAGTAGCCTATCAACTTTGTCTTTTATTTCTCCACCTAGAGACCGATATAAGAACCCACCACTCGTCTGAGTGATCCTTATATATATATTGGATTGACGGTCGTACTCCTTTTTCCGATATATATATATATATATATATGTATATATATATATATATATATATATATATATATATATATATCTAATATAAACAATATAAATTTAAAACAACCTATCTAAACTTTAAACAACATTTATTATTATGTTAAATTCTTAAAAATATATTATCCTCATATAATTATTTTTTAATAATATTCGCTAGTATATAACTTATAAGTTATTTCTTTAACCACTATTTAAGTAAGTTTATTAATTAAACATCATAATATTACTATGCTAATTTCTTGTATATCTATTATTATTCCAATACCCCAAAATTAATTTTAAAATAAATAATTCCTTTATTATTTTTTTAAATATTAATTTTCTTATCCACACACATTCGTAAATATATTAATAATTAATATAATTAAATAATTTAATTTTCTATCTAAAATTACCTTATACTGCGCCTATGTTTACATTTCAACTGTCAAATTGCCAAAATTTCATATCAATTGGGAAATAGTGTTTACAAAAGAGATATGTTACAAAGAGGATATATAATGTTTCTACATTTAAATGGTAAGTTCTACATTTTTAATATGTCTTTAGAAAAATATTTACAAAATTAATCTTATGCATAACCCCAATTAAAATTATATTATAAATTATATGAGAAGTGATTTTATACTTAACTCTAATTAAAATTATAGTTTTTAGGACCCAACAAAAGGACAAATTCAACACCTGCTCAAATACCAAAAAAAAATTGATGTTAAATGATACCATCTGTCTTATTCAACAAATCAAGTCTGACTGTCTCAACACATCAGTGAACTGTTTGTAATGCTATCAGTGTTAAAGGTATAGAAAACATTATTCAATATCTTCATGATATTTGAAAATGTCATTAATATGAAATATCCCTCTAATTCTATTGTCTGCATCTATCAACACATAACTGTTTTGTCCATTCTGATTTTCGATTCTGTATGGACCTTCAAACATTGGTTGTAATTTCTTACAACGGTTTTCTCTCAAAGTACCTTGTCTAAGTGAACGAATTAAAACTTTTTCTCCTTTTTTAAATGTGATTGGTTTTTTAATTATTCGATTTTGTCTTCTGATATATTTTTTAGCTTTTCTTTGAATTCTTCTGTTTACTCTCTGCATTACTTGTTCGAACATTTCTTGGTTATATTCACTGATTCATTTTCTGCTATATGTCCAAACATTAAATATTCTGGTACTTCCTCTGTATTTAAATTATGTGTATTATTTAAAAAATATTCAACTTGTTTGATATGTCCTTGCCATCTGGCATAGTATCCTTAAATATTTTATAACTTCTTTAATATACCTTTCTGTAGGATTCGCTTGAGGATGTTTGATACTTGTAAAATGAATGTTAATCCCCTTTTCTCACAAAATGCCCGAAATTTTTGGTTGTTAAAATATGTAGCGTTATCTATTATGCAATTTTTAAATGGTCCTATTTCTTCGAAAAATTGATTAATATATAATTTCAATGTTTTAATATTTGTTCTTGAGCATGGATATAGTTTAACAAATTTTGTGTATAAATCAACTATCTATGTTTATTTCCTGTTGGACTGGGAACTAAATTTGAGATGAAATCCATGGCAACTATATTTAGTTTTTCATATGCAACATTGGATTTATACGTGTTCTGGTTTTTGAAATTCTTTCCTTTGTTAATTTGAAATATTTGGCATTGGGTAGTAATTTCTTTTGCTATACTTATGTCATTCTTTGCAAAATAATTATCTCTAAATAACATCCATAGTTTTCTTGAACTAATATGCATGTAACTTTTATGTAGATCTTTCAATATCTTTCTTGCCAAAGTTCTACTTATTACATATACCTCTAAGCCATTAATTATCTTATAGTACACCCCATGCTTCTTAAGAACTTTTTGTTTTTCACTCAAATTGATCTGATCTCTTATGATTTCTTCTTTAGAATATAATCCAGTGTTTCCTACTAACTGATTTAATCCAATTTTTATTGTTCGCTGCCCTTTTTGTGATGTATTATCTAACCTTGACAAAGCATCTGCCACTATGTTTAATTTTCCAGAAATGTATTTAATTTCAAAACTGTATTCACTCAGTATTAGGCTTTAACGGTATACTCGACTGTTTCCATATTTGTTATTCAATATAGATGTTAAAGCTTGGTGATCTGTTTCTATAGTAAATTCATTACCCAACAAATAAAATCTTAATTTTGTGATACAATGTATGATACTTGCTAGTTCTAGTTCTGATACTGAATAACCTTTCTCATGTGGCTTTGTAATTCTTGAGATGAATTGTATCGGGTATTCGTCCCCATCATGTATTTGTAGTAATACCCCTGATAATCTCTCTATTGAGGCATCTGTTCTTAATATGAATGGCTTTGTGTAGTCAGGATGGAATATTTTTAAATTTGACAGAAAAATGTTTTTGATTTCTTGGAATGCTAGTTCCCTTCGTTGATCCCATTTCCATTTTACACCTTTTCTCAACAGTTCAAGTAATGGAATTTATTTTATACTTAGATCTGGTATCATCCTTTTATAATAATTAATTATTCGAATAAATCCTCTTAAAGTTCTTAAATTATGTAGTGTTTTATATTCCTGAATAACCTGTGCCCGTTCTGGATCCATTTCTATTCCCTTAGTATTAAATTTAATAACCTACATACATTACTTCTTTTTGGAAAAATATACATTTTTCTTGATTTATTTTTAGTCCAACTTTGTCTAATCTGTTGATTATTATTTTTTAGGTGTTTTTCATGCTCTTCAGCCGTTTTAGAAAAAATTAACATATCATCAATGTGGTGAATTACAAATTGTTCATATTGATCCAAAATATCATGAAGGCATCTG